GCTTCTTCAAGGGATCAAAATACTTTAATTCAACAAGCAAATCTGAGTTTAACTATGTGCTAGAGCACGTATATGCTCATGAAATTTACAAAAAACATGGGCAAAGATCCTCACGTGGATGTGTGTTATTATTTTAACTTATTTTTGTTTATTTGGGACTGTACACATTAGGACCTAGTACAAAAGAAAGTCGGAAAGATCTTTGGCCTAAATCTCACATTCACAAATTGTCTCAATTTTACACTTTTGATATTGTCTCCAAAAAGGGTTTTATGTACAGTCACTGAGATATACTGAGAAAGGTTAAAAGGAAAAAGCCAATCCCATCACTTTAAACTTGTGTCACACTGCCAATGCAGTGCACTGTTTTATAAATCTGTGATTATCTTGTGAATAGCAAAATATTGACATTGTAAGATATATTACATTGCAATTAAATGAAATAAACCACAAATTTTTATATCTTGCTTTAAAATTTCTTCTTTTTTATTTTTTATTGAAGTATAGTTGATTTACAATGTTGTGTTAATTTCTGCTGTAGCGACCAGGATGGATGGTCATACTAAGTAAGTCAGACAGAGAAACACAAATACCGTATGATCTCGCTTATATGTGGAATATTAAAAAATGGTACAAATGAATTTATTTACAAAACAGAAATAGAGGCTTAAGAGGGAAGGGATATGGGGATATATGTATACATATAGCTGATTCACTTTTTTGTACAGCAGGAACTAACAACATTGTAAAGCAGATATACTCCAATAAAGATGTGAATAAAACCCCCACAGAAATAGAGTCACAGGTGTAGAAAACAAATTTATGGTTACCAAGTGGGAAGCAGGGGAGGGATAAATTGGGAGATTGGGATTGACATCTATACACTACTACATATAAAATAGATAACTAATAAGAGCCTACTGTATAGCACAGGGAACTCTACTCAATACTCTGTAATGATCTATATGGGAAAAGAATCTAAGAAAGAGTGGATATATGTCTATGTATAACTGATTCACTTTGCTGTACACCTGAAACTAACACAACATTGTAAATCAACTATACTCCAATAAAAATTAATTTAAAAAATTTCTGCTAGGGCTTCCCTGGTGGCGCAGTGGTTGAGAGTCCGCCTGCCGATGCAGGGGACATGGGTTCGTGCCCCGGTCTGGGAAGATCTCACACGCCGCAGAGCGGCTGGGCCTGTGAGCCATGGCCGCTGAGCCTGCGCTCCGCAGCAGGAGGGGTTACAGCAGTGAGAGGCCCCCGTACCACAAAAAAAAAAAAAAAAAAAAAAAAAATTTCTGCTGTACAGCAAAGTGATTCAGTTATACATATATACATTCTTTTCTTTAATAGTCTTTCCATTATGGTTTATCATAGGATACTGAATATAGTTCTCTGTCCTATACAGTAGGACCTTGTTGTTTATAAAATTTCTTCTTTTTTTAAAAAATTCACTGAGACCCTAAAAAAATGGAGGTGGCCCAGGCCTCTCTAGATCTCTGGGAGGCCCAGAACGTAATTATCACTTTATCTTTACAATGTGATAGTTTTAACTAGGGGTCCCAAATTAATGGGTTGTTAAGAACTTAGCTATGTAAACACCTAACTTACAAACTGCTATCTACTAGCTGTATGTACTGTTTCTGCTGCCATGTAACCAGTGGTCAGAAAAGTCACAGCTTTTACAGAGGTGGTTCACAGCCCTGGTGGCAGTTCAGAATCACCTATGTTTTTTCAGACCCCACTCCAGGACCTAGGTTCTCCAGGGCTGAAGTCTAGAGATTCCTATGCTTAAAAAACTTTCTTCCTTTTTTCTTTCCTGCACTGTATTTTCTTACAGTTCCAGGGCTCAGAATTCAAGCTAGTACTGTTAATTGTATGGTTTAGCTGCATCATAGGTTTAACAGATCTGAAGGCTAATCTGAAGGTCAATCACCATTTTCAATAGAACCTCTCCGGGGTGATGTGTTATAAGGGCCCAAAAAACAATTTAGAAGTTTGAGGGTGCGGTCCACAGATTTGGGGAGGAACTGCCTATATAACACTTTTAATCAAAATACCTTCAATTATTCCTCAAATTTCTCATTGTGCTTAAATATATGAAAGTAAATAAATACTGAATCTAAGTGTTATGTTCAAGTGTCCATTCTTAGAAATGATGTGAAGTAGCAGGTTTTTATAAGCAGTAAAACCGCAACAAGCCCAAACTGTCAAACGACTGAATTCTTTTTGCTTCATAAAAACACAAACCTGGGGCTTCCCTGGTGGCGCAGTGGTTGAGAGTCTGCCTGCCGATGCAGGGGACACGGGTTCGTGCCCCGGTCCGGGAAGATCCCACATGCCGCGGAGCGGCTGGGCCCGTGAGCCATGGCCGCTGAGCCTGCACGTCTGGAGCCTTCGCTCCGCAACGGGAGAGGCCGCAACAGTGAGAGGCCTGCGTAGTGCAAACAACAATAACAACAACAACAACAACAACAACAAAAACCCCACAAACCTGAAGAATATGGCTTTATAACACAGAGAAAAACAAATTCCAGGATGTGGGCTGAGGTCAGTACCCGTGCTGTCCATTCTCCTGTACCTTCTCCTCTTCTTCCTCGCTCTGTACTATGGTTACTGATGCTCTGGAGATGATGACCCTCTCTGTGTCCCAGCAACATTCGCCATCCATGAAATAAAGATTTATTTCTGCTCATCTAAACCCAAAACACACAAGAAAATGTCCAGGGCAGTTAGAGGAGCATATGGGAACTGAGAATCAGGGTTACATTGTCTCACTTCCTGCCTACCCTACTCCCCATTCACCCTACCTTACATTCCCGTTGGAGTGATTATGTCTATGGGGTCAGAGGAAGACATTTTCCTATTTCTTACCTCAAAAGCACAGACAGACACTGAAAGCATCTGACTAAGGGTTATGTTTATCCTTTGAGGAGCTGTTACCAGAATATTTGGACTTGGATCAAATTCAGAAAACTCAAGTTCAAAAGGACCATGATTGTGAGAGCAGCAAATGGCATGGTGTTGATCAATGCAATGTCTAGTTATAATGGTGGTGGATTTAATTGTGTTCCAGAAAGATATGGCTGTTAAGGTTTTCCAGATGAACCAGAGAGCTGAGACAATAATTATTTAAGTTTAAATCCACTTTGGCCTTCCTTATGTGAAGGTAAGAGTGTTAGAAGAAGGATGAGATATCTGGGACCCTGTGGTAGGAAGCTTCCAGGCTGAACTGCCTCCACCTATGTGATTGCCCCAGAAAGCATCCACAGATGCTATACACGTTTTCCTCTCCCGAATGATCCAGCAAATTGCCCTTCAGCCCGTGCTTCATTACGAGGGGTAGAATGCATTCACATAACTATTGCCTGGGCTACAATTGCTGCTTCAGATGAAAACCCAGGAAGCCGAATCCCTGCTGCTGTTGAAAGCGTATAATTAGCTCCTTGTGCAGCCTGACCCCATTGATTCTTCTGACGCATTTGGCTTGAGGTGTGCCCTTTCTGGGACCTCCAATATCTTCTCCACAGCTGGAGATGCCCCAAACTGCACGCAGCACTTCCTGTGGGCGTGGTATTGCATTCTGAGGGCTGCGCGCAGAGTGAATCACGTGTTTCAAATGCTCACAGATTCACGGTGCTTCTTTTAAAACACAGGAGTGGGTTTGAGTGGCTCTGTTAGACACAAGAGAATCCCCTCCTTCCTTTTTCTTTTTAAAAAGTGATTTTGTAATGGTAACCTCTCAAGAAACACTATAATTGGTCAGCCTGGGGTGCGTTAGATGTCCTACCAGATAACGTCATTAGCTATTCTCAGGAGAGGAGAGGAAAGGCAGGGTATGCCCCCTGGGACAATGACAACACTTGTTTCAAGTTGGGGAAGAGCCTGTGGTTCTTTTCCTGCATTTGGAGGAAAGCGAACACACAATGTTCATTTCCTAAATACGGGATGTGCTGCGAGGCTGGTGTGTCATTTTCCACCATGTCACATCCTTCTGGATGGAGGCAGCAGGGGCCAGGACAGGAAATGGCAAATTCTCAGAATGAGACAAGGCTTTCCCAGTGCAGTCATTGGCTCTCTGGAACTATAAAGCGTGCTCATCCAGAAACAGCCTCAGATTTTTCTTTCCCGGAGATAGCCCGAAGTGAATGGTAAGTGGGGAGGCCAGAGGGATGCTGTCTGAAAAATAGCCATTGGACTTGTAATACTGGGGTTATATCCTTGGTCTGTTATATATTTTGAGTAACTTTGTCTCATTTTACTCAGAGGTGTCTTTAATCTGTAAATTTGTCAGTGGTGGGTGGAATTATGGAGGCATGCAAGTAAAGTGAAGACTTAGGAGTCAGGAGACCAAGATCCTAGACTGGGCTCTGAAGAATCAGCTGCATCTAGAATGTGTCTGTGTTTCGATTTCCTCATCTTCCAGTTGAGAATGATGATTTCTGCCCTGATATCTCACAGTAGTGAAATCTTCCATTTCTGTGGCTTCTGTGCCTCTTCCAAGAAGTTCCTGATAGTAAGGAGTACAGTGGATGTGAAGGGAGGGATTTTTGGCAACTAGGAAGGATGTACTTTTACCCAGGATGTACAGTTCTCTCTGTCAGTCATCTTCAATTGGCTTCATTTCAACTTGGTACAGGTAGCCCTCAGTGAGTTGTTAAAAAATTTTTGGCCACTTTTAAAATCGTTCCTCACTTTTAAAGGAAGCTTTCATAATAAAGGGACATAGTGGTGTTAATTTAATGTAATTTATTTTTGTTTAAGTTTTTTTTTTTTTTTTTTGCATTACGCGGGCCTCTCATTGTTGTGGCCTCTCCCGTTGCGGAGCACAGGCTCCGGACGCGCAGGCTCAGGGACCATGGCTCACGGGCCCAGCCGCTCTATGGCATGTGGGATCCTCCCAAACCGGGGCACGAACCCGTGTCCCCTGCATCGGCAGGCGGACTCTCAACCATTGCGCCACCAGAGAAGCCCCAATGTAATTTATTTTTAATTAAGTACACATCAAAGAATGAAATTTCTGAAGACCCGATGAGCTCTAATTAGAAGAAGTGGCACAAGCCACATCTTAGTCTTGATTCTAAGATAAGAGACAGGGGAAAAAAAAACAAGCAGAAGAGTTGCTTCAGGCCAGCATCTAACTTAGAAAGATTAGTTTCCTTACACTTGACAGACAGTGTGATTTTTGAGTTTTTGGTGGCTTGCATTTTTCACTCATCAGAGAGAAAAAGAAGAAAACAACCCTTTTGCAATAAGAGTATTGCAAACCTCTTAGGATCCCAGTCTTCATGTAAGGAAAGGGCCTTGTAAAGGGGTACAACGTAAGGCTTGCAACGTGTCACCTTTCAGAGAAGAGGCCTCAATATTGCAGTGGACTTCTAATACCACCACTCCCTTATTTAACAGATAAGAAAATCCATCCTTGGCGTACCCTGGGAGAAAAAGCGGACAAGAGCATTATTCCTATTGGCTTACTCGGATTTAAGGTCCTGAGAACTGGAGGACTTGTCCCAGATTATAGAACGGGTCTTTCAGAACTTGACACATGACTCACTGGAAAATGACCCGTTTCCCCTTGGGTGGAAGCAGCTGTTGTGCTTGACTCCGGGCTAATCGCGTGTCGTGTCCCCGCAGGGCATGGAGGGGCCGGAGGCCCGGGAGCTGCAGGGCGCGAATGCGCTGCGCCGCTTCCAGGGCCTGTTGCTGGACCGCCGCGGCATGCTGCACGGGCAGCTGCTGCGCCTGCGCGAGGTGGCCCGGCGCCTCGAGCGCCTCCGCCGGCGTTCCCTGGCGGCCAACGTGGCGGGCAGCTCGCTGAGCGCGGTGGGCGCGGTCGCAGCCATCGTGGGACTCTCGCTCAGCCCCGTCACCCTGGGGGTCTCTCTGCTGGCGTCGGCCGTGGGGCTGGGGGTGGCCACCGCCGGAGGGGCCGTCACCATCACGTCCGACCTCTCCCTGATCTTCTGCAACTCCCGGGAGCTGCGGCGGGTGCAGGAGATCGCGGCCACCTGCCAGGACCAGATGCGCGAGATCCTGAGCTGCCTCGACTTCTTCCTTCGCGGGCAGGGCCGCGGGGACCTCCAGCTGCTGCAGAGCGGGAGGAACGCCTCCATCGCGCTGTACAACTCGGTCTACTTCATCGTCTTCTTTGGCTCCCGCGGTTTCCTCATCCCCAGGCGGGCCGAGGGTGCCACCAGGATTAGCCAGGCCGTGCTGAAGGCCAAGATCCAGAAACTGGCCGAGAGCCTGGAGTCCTGCACCGGGGCTCTGGACAAGCTCAGCGAGCAACTGGAGTCCAGAGTCCAGCTCTACACGAAGAGCAGCCGTGGCCACGACCTCAAGATCTCTGCTAACCAGTCCGCTGGGCTGTTTTTCTGAGAATATCTTTTCCCCCTAATGACCGAGGCCAGAAACCATCCCCATGGGATGCCCCAGATTTGTAGCTCCCTCAGGAGAACACCAAGTTGGGTTGGGAGCTGAATGCAAAGGATGAGAAAAACTGTTCTTCAACAGTTTGAGAACAGTGGTTTGAGCCGAGGCTGGATAGGGTTGCAGACATTGCCACCCTTTGGGTCTTCTCCAAGCCCCACTAGGCTTTGAAGTCCTCAAAAAACCTCTAAGAGGAGACACTAGCTTTAAAACCTCTCTGCCAGAGTTTCTGAGTACAAAGAAATCCAGAATCCAGAGCACATCAGACCCTCTCGGAACTGTGTGGGAGGGTTCAGAACCCAAGAGAGGCACCTCCCGCTAACACGTGTCCCCTCCCCTCTCAGCGTGCCCACTCATAGATCCAGCCTGCAGATGGAGTGGAGCTTCCTGGGTGTCTTCATATCCAGACCTCCAAGGTACTCTGAGAGGGGAAACCAACTAAATGGTCACCTAAGTCCCGCCCCCTTGTAGAAGAAACTGAGGCCAGGGAAGAGGAAATGACTAACAGCTTCGTTTACTGACATCATAGCGCAGAGAAGGGAGCAATGGCTTTTGAGTTAGTCCTGGGTTTACCGTCTAAGACTTGGCTTACTGGTCTGTAAAATGGATGCTAAAACCTCACCCTGTTGGGAGGTATTAAGTGAGATAAAGTGCCAAGCACGGCGTCTGGGTCACATAGTGTGGCCCCCTGGGCTGGCAGCATCACCTGGGGACTTGCTAGAAAGGCAAATTCTTGGCCTCAGCTCTAGACTTAAGGAGTCAGAAATTCTGGAGGCGGGGCGCAGCAACCTGTGTTGAAACAAGCTCTTGGGGTGATTTGATGCCGGATAAGGTTTGAAAACCGCTGCAAGGGATGTTGGTTTCTGATCCTCTGATGAGCTTTCACGAAGTCTATAGCCTCTCTGGGCTCCGTGGTCTTCAGAGTCATTCACAAAAGGTCAAGGACAGTGTCCCAGAGGTAAAAGAAAGAAGGTGCGTGGGGACGACTGTGTCAATGCTTCCCGGGGCAATTTCCTGCCAGGTGAACTAAGGGATGTAACAGAATCAGCCCTTAGAGGGCAGTGTTGCCCACTTGTTGTAAAAACTGGTACAGAAAGGAATGTGAATTTAATGGAAATTGACCTTTATTACCTTCTCTGAAAACCTCCAGACCATTTTTTAATTATTTATTTTAAGTTTCTTATTTAATTACTGTTTATTATTAACCTTTAATTTTATTTAACCACAACATTAGAAAATAATAGGAATAGCAAGTTGCTGAATGGGAGACTACTGAGGTTCTTTTCGGGAGATGAAGTTGAGTTTGCCTTTCTAAGGTGGGCCATGAGCTGAAAATAGCATTGCTTTCCTTGAATAAGTCTCTCTCCTTCAGAGGGGAATTTTTTCCCCCAGTGTTTTAAATGAACCTTTTAAGTAAATGTGGGAAGTTGTGAATAGAGAGACCAGGAGCTGAATTTAAGCTTACAAACGGAGGCTTGACTTGTCAATATACAGATGATGCAAGCGTATCTATCCTGAAGGTACAAGACTTTGCCAGCAGATAACACTTGACCTGAAAACCCTTCCCTATTTCGTTCAGGGGGGAGAAAAACCAATTAGAGGCATATGAAGGAAGCACTTGGAAGCCTGATGTCCTGTAAAGTTGGGTTTTATGGGCCATAGACAAATTAGCTTGTGTTATGATAGTGATGTGTTATATTTTCACTTTGGGAGCTGTAAGAAATCTGTAAACTGTCTCTTAGAAAATACTTCCAATTTCTTCAATTTCCATTCCTACAAATGTATTGTTGAAAAGTCTTTGGGACCACACGCACAATAAAACTTGGCTGTGTTATTTAATTATCTCATATGCTTTAAATTTACCCAGTTGACCCCCATGCTTCCCAATGATGGCAGGGTGTCTGAGGAAGTGTAATTTCAGTGCTGGGGAGAGGGGTTGATGTTTCTATATTTTTATTTTTCCTATAAATGGCAATGGATCTGTATCCTGGTTTATTCTGAAGTTGGTACCAGTTGTCTTTTTTTTTTAAACTGGTGTCATTTCCTAGATTGCCTTGCACAGATGCTAGCATTTTAGATGACCAGAATGTGCTTCACAGGGTTGTGTTATGTTATAAAGGTACAATCACTGCCTAACCTCATCTTTTATTAATGCTTAAGTTTAAATTATATTCTTCCAGTGCCTGAGCTGTTCCCTAGAAATAAACTGGGCATTTTTGGAAGCCCCAGCCTCAGCGGCAGCAACAGCAACCATTTCATATTATTAGGGTATTTTGCGTGTATCAAAGTCTTAAACTCTTGAAGTTATAATTTCAGTGACCCACTGTACATCTAAGGCAGGGTGTCTACTTTGGAGCAATACTTTGCACGTTATAGGAGCTCAGTAAATGCATTTGAATAATTTAATGAACTGCTTAACCATATTAAGAGGAATTTGTTGATAATGAAAGAGCATCTGTCCTCTTATGTGTCTGTTATAAAGATGGAAGCCTCGACCAGGATTTAAGTCAAGTTCAGTTAAATGGATCCTAGAGACAAGCATTTTCTTTATTTCTTTTGTGGGAATGTGAATAAGGCTTTTCCTTAAGGCCTTCGTTCTATAAAACAGATTGCAATGGTATGTTGTAAAGGGAAGAAGAGAAAGGGGTATTTAGATTACAAGTGTACTTCAGAAAAATACCCGAGTTCGAAAAATAAATATGTTCATATTGAAGGTTTAAGTGCTTCTGTTGGTTTCTGGGGTTTACAATCCTGTGGATTGTTTTCTTTCACAATAAAGGAGACTCATTTGGTTCTGCATTTCAAGGGTTCAATAAAGCTACATTCTACTCTATTAAAAAGATAATCCTTAGCAGACATTTCTGATTCTAATCACTTTGATGCATTTGTCCTCAGGCACCTGTTATTTCCAATGTGGTAAATGTCAAAGTCAAAAGTATTTACTGGGAGAAAAAAGAGAGAGAAGAGTGGTGTAGAAGGCACTGTAGATCAGATATGTCAAACAATTTGTCAACTTGATATATTTCTCACTCAAAGCCTTGGCGTGAAAAGAAAGTAGAAGGAATGGAGATGTTGAGAGAAAGACATTGTGCAGAGATAAATGGGGATACCATTAAATGCAGCAAATTTTGAATTCCACATTTTTTTCCCATTGTAGCAAAATCAGTCCTTCCCTTTATTGAAATAAATTGCCCAGTCCTCAAACATCTTCTTCTTCTTTTTTTTTTGGCCGTGCTATGCTGGCTTGTGAGATCTTATTTCCCCAACCAGCGATCAAACCTGGGCCCGGCAGTGAGAGCACCGAGTCCTAACCCCTGGACCGCCAGGGAATTCCCAACCTCTTTTTTTTTTTTTTTTTCGGTACGCGGGCCTCTCACTGCCGTGGCCTCTCGCGTTGCGGAGCACAGGCTCCGGACGCGCAGGCTCAGTGGCCATGGCTCACGGGCCCAGCCCCTCTGCGGCATGTGGGATCTTCCCGGACCGGGGCACGAACCCACGTCCTCTGCATCAGCAGGCGGACTCTCAACCACTGCGCCACCAGGGAAGCCCTAGATCAATTTTTAAAGAGTTATCGACTCGTGTATAGGAATTCTCTCATTATCTAGAAATCAGACTTCCAGCAGTTTCAAACCTTTGAACATAATTACAACCTGAGAAGTAATTGAAAAGAATCCCAGAATCAGCCAAATTAGGCTTCACAAAACCCAAACATTAGAGATCGAGGCAGAGAGGGAAGGCAAGAGCCAGCATCTATATTAGGAAGGCAAAACTTTCCCAGGAGTCTCCACGGGACTTCACCTGGCAAGTCACTGATCTTAACCGTGCAAAGCAAGCTGGGAAATGTAGTACTTTTAGCTAAGAACTAGCTGTTCCCAAAATACCTAGGATTCTGTTTGTAAGGACAAAAAGTAGGATGGACATTGGGTCGAGGGGCCAGCAGTCCAAACAAAGAGCCTACAGTGGTTGCTGCAGTGAGTTGAGAACTTCTGCTGAAGGTAACCTGGAGGTAATCTCGTCATCTGAGTGCCAGCCTGAGTCCGCATCTTGGAAACATCCCTGGATGTTGCACTGTTAATGACTGTGCAACCGAAAAAAGGAAAAAAAAAGGCTGTGCTGGCAGGATCCTGGCTGTTTGCAAAGGCCAGCCACAAGCTGGGACCATATCTTTGCTAAAGCATATGGTATTCCTGTCATAAGAAGTAACCTTTTAGTTAATTGCAATAAATCTTTCCTTGTTGAGTTGACAGGAGGTTGGAAAATTGTTACTTTTTGCTCCTGGCAAACTCATAAGAGGAAAGTAAACCCTGCTGTGGTCTGGACTAGGACAAAGAGTGAGCCCTAAGATCTGGAAATAATCCCTTAGCAACCAGAGAGTTGTTAGAAGAGGGGAAATTGTGCTGTTGAAGCGAGACCCCTAAGGGGCAGGAATGAACCTTAGGGACCCTCAGCATCCCCCAGTTCTGACTGGCATTAGCACTGGGTTGTGGAGAGAAGCCCCTCCAACGTGGTCTTGCCTGTACACAAAAAGCTTGTTCATACGAAGCTATGCCTGCAGAGAATGATGTTTAATCCCATTCTGTGTTTCCAGTGTAACCCCAGGGATGGGAGTGCCGGCAGGTCTGCAACCTGATTTGCCCCAGAACTTTAGCAATGAGTCATGGCCAAGGCCTCTGACTCTCAAGAGCACAGGGCAGCCACAGCAGGACTTGTTCCAGCATTTGTGCACATCCAGTTGCTAAATTAATAAAACAGTTGTAATTGGGGGAAGCTTTTTGTGTAAAGGGAGTTGGGGGAGGGCAGTGATATCTAAAGTCTTTCTTTTAGGCTCCAAATTTCTTGTGCCAGTTTCCCTGGATGACATGGGGACATTTATTAAAACTGATCTTGTTATTCAAACTGCACTGAAGTTATTTACAAAACAGAAACAGACTTACAGATATCAAAAACAAACTTATGGTTACCAAAGGGGAAACGTGGGTGGTGGGGGAGGGGTGAATCAGGAGATTGGCATGAACACACACACAGACTATATATAAGATAGATAACCAACGAGGACCTACTGTGTAGCACAGGGAACTCTACTCAATATTCTGGGATAACCTATATGAGAAAAGAATTTAAAAAAGAATGAATATATGTATAACTGAATCACGATGCTGTACACTTGAAACTAACACAACATTGTAAATCAACTATCCTCCAATAAAATTAAAATTAAAAAAACTGCACTGTCGGGGCTTCCCTGGTGGCGCAGTGGTTGAGAGTCCGCCTGCTGATGCGGGGGACACGGGGTCGTGCCCCGGTCCGCGAGGATCCCACATGCCACGGAGCGGCTGGGCCCGTGAGCCATGGCCTCTGGGTCTGCGCGTCCGGAGCCTGTGCTCCGCAGTGGCAGAGGCCACAACAGTACCGCAAAAAAACAAACAAACAAAAAACTGCACTGTCAAAATTTCATTACAGAACAATACTTTTCTAAATGCTTAAATAAAATGACATTTAGATAATAAAGTTAGAAAATAAATGTGGATATTTAAAGATGATAATGATAGTTAACATTTATGGAAAACTTACTAGGTATTGTTCTAAGTACAATTTGACATGTGTTATCACACAAACATCTTATGAGGTAGACACTGTAATTACCGCATATTATTAGATAAAGAAGGTAAAGAACTGAAAGGTTGTACAGCTAGCAAGAGCTGCCCCAGGATTTGAATCCTGGTAGCCTGACTCCAGAGTTATGCCCTTAGTTCTTCTGAGACCAAGTATATTCCTAATGTAAAATAATGGCCCACAAGAGTGACAACATTAATAACAAGGCTGACAGATTCATTCATCCAGAAAACATTTATTGAGTACTCACCTTGCATCACCTACTGTCATTTGTGAGCAATGCAGACAGGGTTCTAGATCTTATGGCCCCAACAATCTAGTCATTCAGGTAGGGTATACTCTGATATCAGTAGGTTAATTGATAAGAAATTAGAATGCAGTTTTGCAAATGGCTAGGATGTGCAAACAGCAATATAGGTGCAATTTGAGAATGATGAAACTTCAGTTTGGATTGTAAAAACTTGTGCATAGGTATTTTGTAATGCTGCCCCAGACGTCCCAGACATGGCAACATTCTTGTGAACAAAACACGTGAAACGGAAGGATGTGATTAATAAGAGAGTTTTGCTAACTGTTGATGTGTTGGGGTGAAGGTATGGAAAAAGCCCACACAGACATGAATAAAGGAATTACTGGTTCAACAGGTCTTTCCAGATCTTGCATAAAAACCTCTGAAAATGAAACTTCTTGGGGTCATTCCATCGAAACTACCACTGAAACTGCTTGTCAGTTTTCTTCCTGTTAGGGGTGTGTATTCAATTTCAGTATGGTAGCTATGAACTAAATCTGTTGGACACTTGTGGGTGAGTAGACAGATGTGAATAGGAATAAGACTCTAATAATCATAAAATTATTCAAAATAATAATGCTTTGTCTCTGGATGATTTGTTTTTGACATTGCTCCCTGAGCTTTTGCATGGCAAACACTATTAATTGTTGGACTTTCTTTCTTTTTTCTTTTTTTAACCATCAACAAGTTATTAATTTTCAAGACCTCAAGGAAAGCATTTCTGTTGATTTCTCTGTTACTCAAAGGACATTTCTTTGATGTTTGAGCACTTCTGGCAATTCACACTCTACCATCATCTAATTATCACTGGAGGGAATTCCCTGGCAGTCACGTGGTTAGGACTCCGTGCTTCCACTGCCAGGGGCCTGGGTTCGAACCCTGCTCAGGGAACTAAGATCCTATAAGCCATGTGGCATGGCCAGAAAAAAAAAAATCACTGGAGCAGGATTGGGCATGAAGTCTTGGAAAATCTGAAGCAGATATGTTAAGATTGATGTAGCTATATGAAAAAAAATTACTAACCTTTTAAACTACAATTTAATTTATGTTTAAGACTTTCTTCCCCTAAGTAGAATTTTAGAGTATATTGAATATTTTAGGTGACATTGTAAAAAGGTGAAATAGTATAAAAAGTGATTTTATCTTTCATTTGTTTCACATTTATTTATATATTATGAAAGGATTCAGTCTTCTCTAAAATTGTGTACCCCAAAAGAATAACAAACAAAGACATTAACAGACAATATAAAAAGAGAAAAACTTGTGCAGATGGTCAATAAATAGGACTTTCATTCTTTCTAACTTTTCTGCAGTTTTGACATTGTTGACTACCCAGTTCTTAGAAGACCCTTCTATCTTGAATTCTGTAACGCCTTTCTTATTTTTCTCTCTGTTTAGCTTCTTTAATTGTTTTCTTTCTCTTCTATTCCTAAACTTCATACCAGCCTGCTACTCTCCCACTTCCATCATGTAGTCTGAGTCTTTCACATCCAGTGTTTCACTAGTCCTAGGTTGAATGTTGGTATGAATGAAAGCAGTGCTAAAGGATTCTCTTGTGTCAGTTTGAATTTGTTAGGTATTAGATGAGATAAAAACAAAGGTGAAGATCCCTGACTGAGTAAAGCAGGTGCAGGGAGCATGTATGAAAAAGACAGTCCAAGCTGTTTCCTCCTACCCTGTTCTCCTCATTGGAGTGCTATACTTTGATTTCAGCCAGATGTGGTCTTGTACCTATCTGGATATCTAAGAGCAATCTGTTTCTGTCTCAAACAGACTTGTCACATGGTACCTTTTATTAGAGACATTTGTGCCTACTCGAAGGCTCTTTAGGACAGAAACAATATCTCAGATATCATTAAGCCTCCGCACAGTGTCTCTCCAGCTTGTGCA